AAACATGCCCCACCTATATGCTGTGTACACGAAACTCACTTCAAATGTGATGACAGAGGCAACTAAAAGGATGGAAAAAGATATATAAACATTAATCAGAAGAAAGCAGGAGTGGCTATATTGTTTCAAATGCAGTAGACTCTAGAGCAAAGACAGTTGTCATAGAGAAGTACATTATATAATGATAATAGGGTCCATTGACTAAGAAGACATAGCAATCCTAAATGTGTGTGCCTCAAACAATAGAACTGCAAAAAATATGTGAAGCAAAGACTGATATATGGAAGGAAAAAGAAAAATCCACAGTTTTAGTTGGAGACTATACTCCTCTCTCAACAATTGATTGAACTAGACAGAAAATTAGCAAGGATATAGACAAACTCAGCAACACCATCAATAAACAAGATCTAATCAAGATTTATAGAACATTACAGCCAGTAACAGCTGAATACGGGCATACCTTGTTTGTATTGCACTTTGTAGATACTAGGTTTTTTTTACAAATTGAAAGTTTGTTGCAACCCTGCATGAAACAAGCGTGTTGGTGCTATTTTTCCAACAGCATTTGCTTGATTCTCTCTGTGTCACATTTTAGTAATTCTTGCAATATTTCAAACTTCCACTGTTATATTTGTTATGGTGATCTGTGATCAGTAACCTTTACAACTCACTGAAGGCTCACATGATGGTTAGCATTTTTTAGCAATAAAGTATTTTTAATTGAGGTATGTACATTTTTTTAGACATAGTACTATTGCACACTTAATAGACTACAGTATAGAGTAAACATACATGCACTGGGAAACCAAAAAATTTGTGACTTTTTAAAAAAAATATTTATTTATTTGGCTGTGCTGGGTCTTAATTGTGGCACATAGGATCTTCGTTGCAACATGCGGGATCTTTTAGTTGCAGCATGCGGGCTCCTTTAGTTGCATCATGCAGGCTCTTAGTTGCAGCATGCAGAATCTAGTTCCCTGACCAGGGATTGAACCCCCTGCACTGGGAACATGGAGTCTTAACTACTGGACCACAAAGTCCCTGTGTGACTCTTCATTGTGATCTTTGCTTTGTTGCAGTGGTGGCAAACCCATGATATTACCGAGGTATGCCTGTATAGTTTTTTTTCAAGTGCACACAGAAGAGATACCAAGGTAGACCATATCATGGGCCCTAAAACTAACTTCAACAAACTTGAAATAATTGAAATTATACAGAGCATGTTCAACCACAGTAGAATCAAACTAGACATCAGTAGCAGAAACATAACAGGAAAATCTCTAAAAACTTGGAAACTAAATAACACATTTCTAAATAATCCGTGGATCAAGAGGAAGTCTCAAGGGAAATTTTAAAAATTACATTGAACTGGATGAAAATGAAAAGAGCATCTCAGCTAAGACAGTGCTAAGAGGGAAATTTATAGTATTAAATGCATATATTAGGAAATAGGAAATGTCTTAAATCAAGAATTTGTTTCCTCCTCAAGAACCTAGAAAAAGAAGAGCAGAATAACGCAAAGCAAACAGAAGGAAGGAAATAATAAAGAGCAGAAATCAGTGAAATTTAAAACAAATTAGAAAAAAATAAGTGAAACAGCTGATTCTTTGAAAAAAACCAACAGAATTAACAAACTTGTATCAAGACTGACAAGAAAAGAGAGAAGACACGAATTACCAATATCAGGAATGAAATAGGGGATACCACTACAGACTGCAGACAAGAGAAGGGTGATAAGGGAATACTGAAAACAGTTCTACATACATAAATTTGACAACTTACATGAAATACACTGATTCCTTGAAAAACACCAACTACCATAACTTACCCATATGAAATAAATAATTTGAATAGCTCTATAACATAAGGAAATTGAATTCATAATAATCTTTTTAAAAAAATATCTTCAGTTCCAGATGATTTCACTGGAGCATTCTTCCAAACATTAAGGAAGAATTAGCATCAATTCTACACAATCCCTTCAAGAAAATTGAAGAGGAAGGAACACTTTTATTCATTTTATAAAGCTGTCATACTACCCTGATATCAAAACTAGGTGAAGACAGTACAAAAAAAAAGAGATATTACAGACCAATATCTTTCATAAGTATGGATGTAAAAATCCTTAACAAAATATTAGCAAATAGAATTCAGTGGTATATAAAAAGAATCGCATACCATGATCAAGTGAGGTTTAGTCCAGGTATGCAAGGCTGGTTCAGTATTAAAAAAAATCACAGTAACTCACCATATTAGGAAGCTAAAGAAGAAATATCACATGACAAAATTCAACACCATGATTTAAACACTTTTGTTTTTTCAGAAAAAATAGGAATGGGAGGGAACTTCCTCAACTTGATAAAGAGCATCTATGAAAAACTTAAGAGCTAACATTATATTAAATGGTGATGCTTTCTCCTTAATTTGGGGGAACAAGGCAAGTTTGCTCTCACCACTCTTATTTGACGTAGTGCTGGAAGTTCCAGCTGGTACAGTAAAGCAAAAAAGGAAATAACAGGCAGATTGGAAGAAAGAAATAAAACTGTCCCTATTTGCAGATGACATGATTGTCTACATAGGAATCTTAAGGAGTCTAAAAACCCTGGAACTAGTAAGTGAGTTCAGCAAGGTTGCAGAATACAAGAAAAACATACAAAAATCAATTGGATTTCTATATATTAGCAAAGAACACATGAGCACCAAGATTAAAAATACAATACCATTTACAATTGCTCAACAAAATTAAATATCTAGGTATAAATCTATCAAACATGTACAGAATTTGTATGCTGAAAATTACACATCGTTGATAAAGGGAATCAAAATCTAAATAATGGAGAGACATACTGTGTTCATGATTGGAAGACTCAGCATAGCAAAGGTGTCAGTTCTCCACAAATTGGTATACATGTTTAACACAGTCCCTATCAAACCTTTTCTCTTTAGATATAGTCAAGGTTATTCTAAAATTTATGTGGAAGGCAAAGAGAGTAGCATAACTAAATCTTGAAAAGAATAGGGTGGAAGGAATCAGTCTACCTGATTTTAAGACTCACTATATAGCTGCAGTAATCATTACTCCATGGTATTGTCAGAGAGATAGACATAGATCAGTGGAAAAGAGTAGAGAACCCAGAAATAGACTCACACTAATAAACCCAGCAGATTTTTCACAAAGATGCAAAAGCAATTCAGTGGAGAAAGGACAGATTTTTCAACAAATGGTGCTGGAGCAATTGGCCATCCATAGGTAAAAAGTGAAGCTTTACCTGAGTTCACATCTTATACCAGAAAATCCATTTAGAGGTGCTCAAAGGGACCTTGACTTTGACCCTTTGGTTCACTCCCTGCTCCACTTTTTATAGTTTTGTCAGGATTACATTGTAGGCACGTAGTACATGTACTAGAAATTTCCCTGATTGTACCTTTAAAGTTTTTTCACAGTAGTTTTAAATTAGATTTGGAGATTGCCCACCCCGACCCTCACAAAAGACTGATTATTTCTATCATTCTTCCTTTTTATAAGGCAAAGGAGCAAATCTTTGTTACCTTGTAATCATCCCAGAAAACCCAAAGATAGTTTGAGCATAAAAGACATCTTTTATTATTCTGAATTTAGAGCATAATAAGGAAAAGACAAAGTTAAGAACTGTCTCATGAGACAAGACATCAACTTTAGTCTTTTTTAAATGCAAGATATATTTATTTCAAACAATATTTTAGAACCATAGCAATAAACAGTGATTTTTAGAAACTTTTAAAGAAAGGAACATTTTCCCAAGATCATTCAAGTGTTTATCAAAAGTAGCAGAGGTATTCTGTTACAGAGAGTTAGCAGAATATCTTGGTGATAAAAAGAAAACTGTTATCTGAGCATAGAATAACTTGATCATTTTATAAAAAGCAAGCCCTGCTTGTTTTTTTATATCGTCCAAATAATACTTTGGCAACAAAGGATTTACACACCTCTATTTTTTATGAATAACTCCACTAACATTGAATATACTTTTAATCTTTTTGGCATGTATAGACTCCTTTTTACAAGTTAAAAATGATTTTAGAGTTTATATTTGTGTTTTCTTAGAAATAATCTATCATGTTAAGTCTTCTCAGTCAGAAAAATGGTGTATCTTTTCATTTTTTAAACTATTTTTTCCAGCTTTATTGAGATAAAATTGACATATAATGTGTATGTCATATACCATGGGCATGTCCAAGTGCTTCTAAAGCAGCGTTTTAAATGTCTTCATATATTCTATTATGCCTGTGTCATAATTTATCTATTTCTTCATTGTTAGAGGTAGGTTAGCAAGGTGGTTGAAAGCAAGGACTTTGGAACCAAACTGTTTGGACTGAAGTTTTTTCTCTGCCACTTACTTTCTTAGCAGTAAAATGGGGATGGTGTAATACTTATAGAGTAGTTGTGAAGATTATATAAGTTAATTTCTGTAAATCATTTAGAACAGTGTCTGGACCATAGTTACTGTGTAAATGTTGTGATGAATGTCTTTATACATAAATCTTTGTCCAAGTTTCTAATTATTTCCTTACATAGATTTTTAGAAGGGCAACATTTTGATCGATGAGTATGAACTCTTTAAGACTTTTAAAGACTCTTCAGATCCAAATTGCTTCTTAGAAAGATTGTAGGATAGGTATAGGGTTAGGATAGGATAAGGATAGGGATAGGATAAACAGGGTTGTTGAACTTGTTTTACAGCACTTGGCACAGAGTCTACAGAAAAGAAAAAACAAACAAACAAACAACAAAAAAAAACCCTCTCTGACTAAGGTACCTGGATTTGAACATAGCCTTTATGGACTGAACACAGGTATTTAATAATAATAAAGCCATGATGGACTGAGGGGACAAAATTTCTTTCTTCTTAAACAGTGTGTTACAATGGTGGACTGTTGGTATTTTGTTACAGGAAGCAAAATTAGTGTTGGTAACAAGTAGTAAAAGTTAAAGGTGTTTAATATATACTGTTTCCCTTTAGGATTTTCTCTTGCAGCAGACCATGCTGCGAATTAAGGATCCTAAGAAGTCATTGGACTTTTATACTAGAATTCTTGGAATGACGTAAGTAAACTGTTTATTGGTGCCTATAATGTTTAAATACATAGCTTTGCAAATATAGGGAATGTTTTCAGATCCATTGTAAAAATGGATTAAAGTTTGCTTCAAAGGTCACAAAAGTCCTTTTGGCCAGGAGTCTGGGACTAGGCTTGACTGACTAGGGGTTCTGTCAGGTTCCTCTCCTCTATCCCAGCCAGGCTCACTGGGCAACATGACACCAATACTTGCATTTTCTCTGACTCCCTTATCTCTAAGAGCTGCCAGTTAAATCCTTAATGTGTCCAGACTGTTTTGATGTTATGGCCACTTTTAGCCTCTTGTTTACTTCAGAAAAGATATAGCTATTAAGACACAATACTTAGAAAATGAATGAGTTTTAGGTAAACTCATTCATTTTCTAAGTTTTAGGTAAACTGGCCGTCTATTCCATTTTTATAGGATGTGTTCTCTTTTGCTGAATAGGTAATATTCACTGATCTTATAATCTTTAAGACATATTTCTTTTTCTTGATTTGTTTCCGAAAATAACATGAGGGTTTTTATTTGTTTTGGGTAATATAGATACATAAAGAATAAAACAATCTTTAATTTACTTCCTAGATAACCTCCATTGACATTGAGAGAAAACTTCAAGTAATACAGTATATGTCTATGTTAGAAAATCTGACCAATTCTGAGAAATACAAAGTGAAAAGTGACAGCTTCCGTCCCCCAGTCCTCTTCAAAGATAACTGCTGTTAACAGTTTCTTATAATTCTTTCCAGAAAAAGTAGTTTTGTATGTATTTATGACATATTTAAAGGGCAGAATGAAACCAGATTTACTGAACACGTGCTATTTGCCAGGCACTTTATATCTCATTTCGTTGTCTTCACAGTAGGTTTATGAGATAGCTTATATCCCTATTTTACATGGAAGGAAGAAACCAAAGCTTAAAGACATTAACTTAATGACCCCAGATTCCACAGTGGGCACATGGCAGAGCTGGAATTTGAATCCAGGTTTGATCAACTCCAATGTTGACCTTGTTTTTAAAGAGCCCCCAACTAGGGTACAACTTGACATTATATTGAAAGATATGCTGAGCTGAGAAAAGCAAGTTAAAACAGGTTCAGGTGTTCCATTTCCCATCTGATTGGTCCGTCTGCTTTGGTAGGTGCAGAGATAGTTTTCAGAATTGGAGTATTTGAGGTGTTTGATACATCATTATAAACAAGTTAGAGTAAATCTTATTTGTGATGAGTCAGTACATAGCTCTTAGTGGGCCAAGGCATATAACATGACAGTAATAAGTAAAAGATTTGGAACAGAACTCTAGAAACTTTCCATTTGCTATGCTGCAACGATTCCCTCTTGTTGATTTTGAATGAGGTCATGTTTGAGCATTTAATCCTCCATAATCTAAAGAAAATTGTATTGTGTGTATCCTCATTCTACCCTACTCCTTGCAAAATAATCTTACCCTCTTTAAACTCAGCTTAGAGGCCACGACTTCAGTGAATCTTCTCAGAACCTCAGGATGGGTAATTCATCACGCACTCTCATGATCAGTCTCTCCTTTTCCACTGCTCTTTCCCCTCAACCTACAAAAAAGCTTAAGTCTTCTCTATTCTAGGATAATTCTTGCCCTCCGCTCTCTTGCTGTCCTTCCCGTCATCATGACCATCTGTACAGGCAGACCACCACTTACTGTTTCACTTGCTCACCTCCCATTCTCCAGCTTCTGCTGTCGCATGCTGCTGAAACTGCCCTCACAGGACCTTTCCATGTCTGCTCACCTCTTCTCAGACCTAATCCTGTCTGACCTTTCTGCAGTATTTGATACTGTAACCACTTTATTGTTGACATTCATGTCTTTTGTGATATTAATCTGTCCTTCTCTCTTAACACCTATCCTCAGTTTCCTAGGAGTTTTGGCATAGTAAGAACTCAATAAATTTATTTTTCTTTAACTCAATGCCGTATAGCTGAAAGAACAATAAGGTGTGATGTGTTATATTTTTCACTAAAAATAAATAAAATTTTCTTTTGAAGATACCTTTTGCCATTTATAAGCAAGTACCATAAATCCAACTAAATTGCATTATATTTGAAGAATTGATGAATTACAAAAGTTTCCATTTTTATTTTTATTATTATTTTGTTTTTTTGCGGTACGCGGGCCTCTCACTGTTGTGGCCTCTCCCGTTGCGGAGCAACAGGCTCCGGATGCACAGGCTCAGCGTCTGTGGCTCACGGGCCTAGCTGCTCCGCAGCATGTGGGATCTTCCCGGACCGGGGCACTAACCCATTTCCCTTGCATCGGCAGGCGGACTCTCAACCACTGCGCCACTGGGGAAGCCCAAAAGTTTCCATTTAAAAAAAAATTTTATTTCACTGATATATACAGATGAATAAATTTTTTTAAATGAGACTTTTTAAAATTGATTTTCCTTGCTTTTTCTATTAAAACAGCCTCACCGGGCTTCCCTGGTGGCGCAGTGGTTGAGAGTCCGCCTGCCGATGCAGGGGATGCGGGTTCGTGCCCCGGTCCGGGAAGATCCCACATGCCGCGGAGCGGCTGGGCCTGTGAGCCATGGCCGCTGAGCCTGCACGTCAGGAGCCTGTGCTCCGCAACGCGAGAGGCCACAGCAGTGAGAGGTCCGCGTACCGCCAAAAAAAACCAAACCAAAACAAAATAGCCTCACCATGTACAGCTTTTATTCTTAGTAGAACTTGAATATTGTTATGTTGATTTTAGTATGAATCAGCTTTTCCTATTGTTACTTGATTCAGACTTGTTGTTGTTTAATTTCAGACTACTCCAAAAATTAGATTTTCCCACTATGAAATTTTCACTCTATTTCTTGGCTTATGAGGATAAAAATGACATCCCAAAAGATAAAGATGAAAGAGTAGCATGGGCATTCTCCAGAAAAGCTACACTTGAACTGACACAGTGAGTATAAGTTTTTATTTTTTTTATATACTCTACATTATTTTGAAGCTTATTTTTTTTAAACTTTTTTTCCTTTCTTATCAGCTTAATTCAAACCAGGTCTGCCTAATCACTTTCAACTTGTAACAGTATGTTTGAGTATTTTATATGGATCTTATGGTCTTTGTATTGCTCTTGTGGCATGGAGAGGGCAAGTGAGATCATTTGCCTTTTAGATAGAGGATATAAGACTGAAATGGCAAGATATTTTTCAAACGGTAGCTAATGAATGTTTAGGTACTGTAAGTAAGGTCTTCATAATTTCAGCATTTTTGTTGAAATTGGCATTCCCCTTCTTTCTTTTTTATTCTTTATGTTGTTTCTGTGCACCCGCTAAAAACTATCAAAAGAGCATTTGTTACAGGGTGTGTGATTTAATGTGTCCCCTGATTCAAAACAGCCCTGGAATCAGAAAGACCTAGACATGAGTCTTGGCTCTGACAATAGCTCTGCGACCCTAAACAAGTTATATCACCCCCCTAAGTGGCAGTCTCATTTATAAAATGGAGATACTCAGATCTAGCCCTTGGAGCTGTTCTGAGGACTTAAAGAAGTATAAAGTACTTAGCACAAGAAATGATAGTTGCTATTATTATAATTATTGTTCTTATCCAGATGCCTAGTTTAATTGTCTCCTTAGTCATTCTTTCCCCTTTTGCTCTTTCTATAGTTGAAAACTTAATATTTACAGTTAACAGAGATTAGACCAAGTATATTAAGTAGCATATATACATGGTAAGATTTCAAAGATTGTTGCAGCTTTCTTTTCAGAATACCTGTTCTCCAGGTCACTTGTAATTATGTTTTCCATCCTTTTGTAGCAATTGGGGCACTGAAGATGATGAGGCCCAGAGTTACCACAGTGGCAATTCAGACCCTCGGGGATTTGGTATGTTTGCCTATGTGTGTGTAATAAACATGGATTTGTGTGATCTTTCCATTGTGTACCTATTTATGATTGTAAGCAATCTAAAGCATTAAGTATAATCAATTTGTTAGGAGTATGGTTATTTTTATTTTCCACAAATAATTTTATTTAGGAGTTGTTTAATTTCATCATCTCAGTCTAAACTTTTTACATTTACTCTCTCACAATGATTTTACTTTTCAGTTTCAGTATTATATCCAGTAGATGTTTTAATTTAAAGAACAAAAAAAACAAAAATGATGGTTAATAATAATCCCGATTTCTGCCAGCATACACTTCCGCCTTGATCTCAAATCTCTCAACCAAAACAAGAGTATTACCAATTTAAGTTGGCTGCTATGTAGTCGGTATCAATAATAAGCCTATTAAGCATGAGTAAATGGTTACTCTTTTGTGTTGTAGGTTATTCTTAACAGATCAAACTATTTATGAGCCAGTACTGGGCTATGTTAAATAATTTATAATTCAGAGCAACTAATTAATTTATTATACCCAGCCAGTTAGATTCTTGTTCTTTAAGGTATTATAGGTTTTGAACCAGCTTGATTCAGGCTGTTTTCAGATGCCTTATGTTTTGAAATAAACTAGTTTTGGAAGCCACTTGTGGCACATGGGTACCCTGTTGTAATTTTTCCTTCTTTCTCTCTGCCTTGTTTTGGGGGTGATTACCTAAGGTCACATTGGAATTGCTGTTCCTGATGTTCACGGTGCTTGTAAAAGATTTGAAGAACTGGGAGTCAAATTTGTGAAGAAACCTGATGATGGTGAGTCTGCTACTTGTTTTCTTCAGGCCTATGCTTAGTTGTATAACATTTACTAAGTACCCACAGAGGGTACTGTTGTAGTAAAATCCTTTTGGTTGCAAGTAACTTGGAATTCTACTCCAACCAGCTTAAGGAAAGAAGGGAAATGATTGGAAGAATACCTGGTTATCTCAGGGAACTGAAAGGCAGCACCTAGGGTGGCTTCACATGGGACTAGTCACAGGATCTAGAGAGCTGTCAAGGACCTAGGCTCTCTCTCCACCCCTTGACCCTACCATTCTCTCAGTGACCACCAGCTTTCGCTCTCTTGGGTATATCTAACCACCCAAAAAAGTAAGTTCCTTAAAGTCTGTTTCATCTGCTGTTAATGTAACTATACTGAGTCTCTTCAGTTAATAATTTCCTGAAATTTTTTTTCATCCTTTTTCAACCTTTGCGTGTCCTTCAGTTTTAGATATATCGCTTGACATAGTATATATCTGGATTTTGTTGAATTTACATGTATTATAATTATTTTATTTCGATCTGTTTTTGCCACCATAATTTATTATTTAATTTTCATTTGAAATATTTCACTGTTTCATTTCAATCCTTTTTTTTTTTCAATTAGGAGATTTGATATCCAAATATCCTCCTCCCTAGTAAGGAAAGAACTTGCTTCCCTCTACCTCCATTATGTTGCTGTTACTCAGGCTGGGATATTATTGATTTATTTTTCCTTTTTCTTTAGCTTTGGCTTTTTATTTTAAGATAATAAATATATCAAGGTATATATTTTTTCTCCATAGATCTCTTGCAGCATCTTTCAGATTTTTCTGTCCCTTTATTAAGTACCTCAACCAAAACTGTTTTTAAAGGGTTTGTGAGGCAAAACTCTTGAAGCTCTGTATGTCCCAGAACCATGCCTTTATACATATGAATGACAGTTTTGTTGACTATAAAATCTTAGGTTTATTTTCCTTCAGTCTTGAAAGTACAACTATATTGTCTTATTTTTCCCATCCAGTGTTGCTGCTGAAAAATCTGATTTGTGTTCCTTCATATAGTTTCTTCTGTTTTGTTCTAGAGGCTTTTTATATTTGTTATTTCTTTGTCCTTGCCTTCCTTCTGGGAGATTTCTTCAAACTGGCATACCAGTTAGCTAGTTTTTCCTCAGATGTATCCGTTCTTATATTTATCTTCTGTATTCTCACCTATTATGTAATTAATTTCAGCTATTATGATATTGATCCTGAATTTTTGCTGGGCTCCTTTAATATTTTCTTGTTCTTGTTTCGTGTTGGTCGTATTGAATATTCCTCGTTGCTTTTACATGTTTTAATAGTTCTTGGTCCCCATTGATCTAATAATTGTTCTTCTGTTTGAATGTATAATCCATTGTTTGTTTTATAGTTACATTCCTCAAATTCTTATTATTTTGGTCTCAGAGGTTTTTTTGTTGTTGTTGTTTTTTGATACTGAAACCATTAGCTATTCCAAACATCAGGCAGTGTGAATGGGGGAAGGCCAGACCTCAGTCCTTAAAAATCCACATGTTCTCAGGGAGATGTGCTGAGCAGAGAGAGAAAATAAGAGTTAAACAAATACTTCACATTCTGTAGTCAGATCCTTTTCCCCCAATTTGTCCCTGTTGGAGTAGTAGTATTAGTAGGAGACACTTCTGGGATTGTCTTTCCCTCACCCTGGTTGTGGGGAAAGTGAAACCTCTGGGAGATCAGTTGGTACCCACCTGTCTTTCTGCCCTTGTCTACTCCCGAGGACATTTGAACCAGTAGTTTCAACCCCCCCACCCCGACCCGGTGGGAGTAGGTGCTAATGCCCAAGGCACTGGGAGAAGCAAGAGCCAAACTAACAAAACTCCTGTTTATTCTCCCACAGCCTTGTGGTCCAGCCAAAAGTACCCCCTTCCACACAAAGCAGGTTAAAACAGTCACTACCCCACCCCCACCGTTCCTCTCCCCAACTATCACCTCAGGGGCATTGTACTTTTTTTTTTTTTTTCCTATTTTTTTAATCTGTGTTCCTCTGGGGTTGATCTTGAAGAAAGGAGCCAGAGATAGGAGTCAAACTACTTCAGCATCTTGGTACCAAAACAAATTTCCGAGGTCACATTTTTCCATTTAAGCAAAGAACTCTACTACTAGACCTACTAACCTCTCAATCCCAGTTTTGAATTCCTGGGAGAAAGAATCTGATTGGCAGAGCTTGGGTTACATAGAATAGTGTATGACCTAAGCATCTTGGTCCTTTGGCTGTGTAGATAAGCCATGCTACCTCCTCCCTTGAGCACCTATCTATTTCCTTTATCCTCTTTAAAATAAGACAATTTCTTTGACTACTCAACTAGTAGTATGAAGTGATAATGTGCAGGTGAAATAAATACCTGAGACTTACAAGATGCAGCCAGTCCCACAGTTTATTTCAGGAGAGTTGGTTTACAGCTGTGTGTAGAAGCTAAAATATGTCATTCTGAAAATCGTGCATCTGGGCAACACCGACAATAGAATTTTTTTAAGTTAAAACTATAAACAAAACAATGTAATTAACTAAAATGCAAATTAAAAATTGAATTAATAAAAAATGTATTTTAAAGTTTTAAGGTTTTTTTTTAAAGTCTTTTCAATAATGAAAATCATTTTGTTTTACAGGTAAAATGAAAGGCCTGGCATTTATTCAAGATCCTGATGGCTACTGGATTGAAATTTTGAATCCTAACAAAATGATAACTATTATTTAGCTCTGTGAGAATGCTGCTTTGAGATTTCAGTGAAGACATTGTGGAAGGTAAAAAAGGAGACAATGTGATTCAAGATATTCATTTAACAGAAGCAACTAGGACTGATGGATTATTGTCTCAATTCAAATTGTTCTTAAGTCTATTTCCCTTTCCTATTTCAGCTATGTTTTTCATCTAACTGTTCAGTCATTCTAGTTTTAAAGTAGTGCTTTGTCTTATGTCCTTGAATGTAGTTGTATAACTACTTTTTTAGGCAATAATTAGAACGATTCCGTTCAGAGGCTGCATTTTGCCTTCTATCTTCTGACGAGATACAAGTCTACAAGTCTGCCTTTGAATCATCATTTAAAAAAAAAAAACAACCACTTAATATGTTTTGTTGTGATTACCTTCTGAGGTTTCAATTCCTCAGAAGTGACTTCAGAATGGGAAGTAAAGGACCCCAAACAAAAATGAAGCTTCATGTATATTTCAAATAGTATAAAGTTTATTTTACAAAAGAAAAGTTACTCTTGAGAGAAATTCAGAATTATGCTGACAAGGATGTGGATAGAAAAACTAATTTCTTCTTCGTTACAAACTACTTTGAAAGTTGAAGGACTAACCTCTTTATTTTGGGATGGGGAAGAGGATGGGAATATTACATACTGGGTATGCGAACACAGACTAGGCTGTCACATACTTTATCTCCCTTAATCCTCCACAGTATCCTGTGAGATAGAAAGTAGGCTGGACATGCAAAATAACTTTAATGAATCCAAGGCAATATAAATAGGCTAAGGACTCAAGATCTCATTATCATTTTTAGTATTTAGATTATACCTCAAAAATTAGTACCTTGGGGCTTCCCTGGTGGCGCTGTGGTTGAGAATCTGCCTGCCAATGCAGGGGACACGGGTTCAAGCCCTGGTTCGGGAAGATCCTATATGCCACGGAGCAACTAAGACCGTGTGCCACAGCTACTGAGCCTGCGCTCTACAACCCGTGAGTCACAACTACTGAAGCCTGCGTGCCTAGAGCCCGTGCTCTGCAACAAGAGAAGCCACCGCAATGAGAAACCTGCGCACAGCAACGAAGAGTAGCCCCTGCTCACAACTAGAGAAAGCCCGCGTGCAGCAACAAAGACCCAATGCAGCCAAAAATAAAATAAATAAAATAAATAAATTAAAAAAAAATTAGTACCTCACAGTACCTCCTTCACTAGTGTTCTTTGTAAAAACCTTCAGAGTGTTTGAGCATTGTCCTCTCAGCTTTCGAGCCTGAGTACCACGGTGAGGAAGAAGCAGTGGAGGAAGTCTGGAGAATGCGGCTGCTCTGGGGATGCCTGGTTGTCCCTGTGCAAGTGGTGCTTGTGTTTCTTGTGAAGAGCCCCTACCCCAAGGTCTTCCAGATGCCAGTAATCATTTAGGATAAATTATGTTCAGTGATAACATAACTTAGTTATCAGAAATCAGCTCAGTGGTCTTCCCTGCCATGATTGACATTTGATAGGTTTTAAAAAACAAACTGATTTTGAAAATCTCTTATGGCATAGATAATAAGAACATCCAGTTTGTGGTTTAACTACATTTGGATTTTTTGTGGACTCTAGTGGAAGACCTTTGGATAGGCCTTGCCAACTGCGCTTACACTGCTAGAAGCACTTTCATTTCCTTTTTGGATGGAATGGATTTATGCGAGCAGTTCAAAGAAAAAGCAGTACTTATAGACTGAAGTAAAATAAAATTTTAGAAAAGACTGTGTTTAATTTGTAAACTTCTATCCAGCATGTTCTTTTTAAAAAAGAAATCTGCCCTTGGGGAGTACTGCAAGGATTTTTGAAGGGGCTTGCAGACTCATTGAGAACTGGGAATAGTTGTAATTCTATACATCAGGCAAAGCACATAATTTCTATGGATAAGGAAGGGTCGGGAAGATGAGAAGAGGAAAGTAAATGGATAAAGGATTTTGGTAGAAAAAGTGCAGAGAAGAAGAGAAGACAAATATCAAAAATGAGTCATGGAAACCAGTGCTGGTACATTTTGGGTACTAGCATTACCAAGTGGGAGGGTTATTAGATTCATAAATTTAGTCATTTAAACCTTTTTTCCTCAGAAAGAAGCCTTCTCTACTTGCTAAGTGAAACTTGCCAAAAGATAGCCCTTGCTACTCTTTAAATCTGATCCCTGTATGCATTGAAAAAATATGTATTGTATCACTGGGCCTTGCTAGGGATTAGAACAATTCACTTCTAAATTAATTTATCTGAGCATCAGTGACATGAAAGGGTGAATTAGAGCACAATAAGTTTTCTTCTTTTCCATTATTGGACAGCCAGACTGTATAGCTTACTGTTAATGTAAAATAAATCAGTTGCTCATGAACCCTACATGAGACACAGTTATAATACATATGGTCTGAATAGGAGCTGATGACTGTGAGAGAATCGCTACGGCTTCCCCATATAGCATTCTGACCAGGATTGCGTACAGTGTATATAAATATTCCTTGGCAACACAACTGCTTGTGAAGAGGGTTATATCGGTAAAGATGCATGCTGCTGACAATAAGAAAAGACCTGGGCTTCTCTGGTGGCGCAGTGGTTGAGAGTCCGCCTGCCGATGCAGGGGACACGGGTTCGTGCCCTGGTCCAGGAAGATCCCACATGCTGCGGAGCAGCTGGGCCCGTGAGCCATGGCCGCTGAGCCTGCGCGTCCGGAGCCTGTGCTCTGCAATGGGAGAGGCCACAACAGTGAGAGGCCCGCCTACCGCAAAAAAAAAAAAAAAAAGAAAGAAAAGTCCTAACTCTATCAGATGTAACAAGCACTTCAGAGGTTCTGGAATTAGTTGATAGAGGGCTCAGAACTATCAGGCACTCTGGTTTCCTTCTATCTTTGCCAAACTGTCATTCTCAGCAGTTGTTTGGGGGGCTAATAATACCTGTGATCAAAAACGCCCACTATGAGGACTTCCCTGGTGGCGCAATGCTTAAGAATCCGCCTGCCAATGCAGGGGACACGGGTTCGAGCCCTGGTCCGGAAAGATCCCACATGCCGCAGAGCAACTAAGCCCGTGTGCCACAACTACTGAGCCGGCACTCTAGAGCCCGTGAGCCACAACAAAGAGTAGCCCCGGCTCACTGCAACTAGAGAAAGCCCGTGCACAGCAATGAAGACCCAACGCAGCCGACAATAAATAAATAAATTAATTTAAAAAAAAAACAAAAAACGCCTACTATGATTCCAGGTGTCACTGTACAATGTCCAGTGAAAGAAAATAACCTGTTTTTCCTTTTGTGTCTTTAATGAGTGTAAAACCTTTCTCAAAGCTCATCAGCAGAATTCTCCTTATGTCTCAAACCAGAATTGGGTCACTCGCTTGGCTCTAATCATTGACAGAGGGACTGAGACCACTCTGACTTAGGTCATATTTACTGCAGTTACCTACATGAGGGTAGACACCGCATCCAAACTGAAACTGCCAGAATGGAGGAGCAAATAAGGGCTTCTGAAAAGGCGAAACAGAAACTGCAGCAGGGTGAAATTAAATATTGAGAACTTAGTGGGTGCAAGGGTGCTGTAAGAAATCAGAACACATTTCCTGCCCTCAAAGAACTTGTTCTGAGATTGTGGTTCTCAACTATATCAGACTTAGCAAACCCTCCTTATAACATGGGAATGTTTATAACATCTATCACACCCGCTATCCTAAAACAAAATTCATATTAACTTACCTATATACACAGTTTCAAAAAGGATCAGTCCAATGCCTTTATTGTAATAAAAAGGAGAAATAAATCAATTTTTAATAAAATATGCATTTCAATATGTAAATGCCCAGATACTACTACACTAGAAAATAATGAAGTAGTCAGGTGCTTTCTCTTATATATGGAAGAAGTAAAACTGTTCAATAGCGTACTGATAACTCTATTTGGTATTTTAAAATAGAGACTAAATTCATGATTCCTGAAGAGCTATAATGTTACAACTTTATTTACTTATTTATTTTTTTGGCCACACCACGTGGCATGGGGAAATCTTAGTTCCCCAACCAGGGATCAAACCAATGCCCCCTGCAGTGCCCTCGAAGTCTTAACCACTGAACCGCCAGGGAAGTAGCAGTGTTACAACTTTAAATGCATACTGATAACAGGTGTGTTTTATTGGTCACTCAAAGAAATTGAATGATGTTACTGTTGGAAACATCATTTTCCAAAATAGTGATCCATTCTCGTGGAGGTTTTGAGTAAAAGAATAATATTCCTTCTGTTTATAGGGTAGTTTTGTCCCCAGTGAATATTAAAATTATACATACAAATAAGTAAAATGGAAGTTCTAGGCCCAGAAGATAAAAGCAGATGTTATAATTTTTTAATTGAGATAACATTGTGTAAGTTTAAGGTGTGCAGTATGTTGATTTGATACCACCATAGGGTTAGTAACACCTCTATCATGTCACATAATAATCAATTCTTTATTGTGATGGGAATGATTAAGATCTAGTCTCTTAGCCTAGAAATCAACTACAAGAAAAAAACTGCAATAACCACAAACATGGAGACTAAACAATATGCTACTCAATAACCAGTGGGTCACTGAAGAAATCAAAGAGGAAATTAAAAAATATCTGGTGACAAATGAAAATGGAAACACAATGATCCAAAATCTATGGGTTACAGCAAAAGCAGTTCTAAGAGGGAAGTTTATGGTTATACAGGCCTACCTCAGGAAATAAGAAATCTCAATGTAACCTTACACCTAAAGGAAAAGAACAAACAAAACCATCCTTGGCTAGCACTTCTGCTAGTATATAGGTGGTGACCCTGGTGGAGTGACCCAGACTGTCATCTCTGAGGGGTCTGAGCCCCTGGATGACATGTCCTTTTCAGACCAGCCAGGGTTGCTGCACGTGTCCATTTGCCTTTAAAACTGGGCATGAGCATACCAACAGGCACCTAAGTGGGTCACATGGATGCTAAGCATACTCCTAGCTGCCCCCATTGTGTAGCAGCAGCCCCACTTCTTCCTAATGATAAGGGTCACTTGCTACTGCCAGAACGGTGATTCTTCTTGTCCAAAGTAACAGGGCAGCAACCAAAGCTTAAAAGTAGTGGGATTAATCCCAAAGCAACCTACAGATTCAATTAAAAACCTATCCAAATCTTAATGACTTTTTTTCAGAAATGGAAAAATTCAAACTAAAATTCACATGGAATCTCAAGGGACCCCAAATAGACAAAACAATCTTGAAAAAGAAGAATAAAGTTGGAGGAGTCACACTTTCTGATTTCAAAACTTACCACAAGCCTTCAGTAATCAAAACAGCATGATACTGGCATAAAGA